AAAAAAAAAAAAGAATGCGTAAGCAATTAATCAATAGGCATCTTTACTGTATTAAAAATCAGAAAATTTACCTGACCGTTTTCAATAGGGTAAACCTTGATTTTGTTTTTATTAAAGGTCATTAAAAGATACTTCAGAAGTCTGAAAAGCTCACTTCCTGCAATCTAGGAATCAAAATTTTCCAGGGGCTAATATGATTCCGCGCCTCTCCCCCGGTTCTTCTTTAGGGTTTATTGATTCATTTAAAAACGTCAAGAGAGGGAAACCAAAATTTCAGAAGTTGAGAAAACCCGTTTTCCGACATATAGGAATCAACATTTTCCCACCACCGTCCAATTTGGGGTTTATCGGTTCATGGAAAACAAAATAGGCCTACGTATGCAACTACTCATTTTTTTTATACACACATAGGCCTGTTTACTGTAATAAGAATGACAAAAATGACATGACTGTTTTCAAGGGAGGGAAAATCTTGAACTTTAAAAGACTTAAGTGTCATTAAAATACACCTCGAAAGTCAGGAAATCTCATTTCTCGCCATTTAGGAAACAACATTTTTCCAGGGAGGACCTCGACCCCCTTTCATTTTGAGGTCAATTATTCTAAGAATCATTTTTTCCGACACTTTCTCTTTTGTTTTTATTTTTTTATTTATTTTTTTAAAAACATTTTGAATCCATCCTAAATCTGAAGCCAAATTGCCTCTGGAGATGATAAGGGCATCCCAAGGTGAGTGATGGGATGGGGGTAAATGCCCGATGAAGTGGGACCGCTCACTTAATTTCTTTTTTTCATTTATTTATTTAGCATCCATTCAAATACAACAATTATTGCTCACGCAAATTATAGCGATATTAGGTAAATTCAATCTGTTTGACCGTGATCTTTGTGCTTATTTTCACTGGTGAGGGCTGACTAATGGGGTGGACGCGGACTAAGGGGGTACTGCAGGTGTCTTCTTAACACTCCACCTCCCACCCTTTTCTTTGAAGAAATGTATTTTAATAATGTCACATAAAGTGTAAAATGTTCTAATTTGAATCTGTCGGTCTAGAAACCCTCTTTCGTGTCATACTGAGCTCTGGCAAGTTATTCTGTCTAGATCTTAAATTTTACATCGTCCAATAAAAAAAATACTTTAATGACGTCATACATATTTAAATATGCTTGCGTTGAAATCTACAGGTTAGAAAACCCCTTATATGTTCTAATAACCAAGGTAATATGAATCTGCCTAGGTATTACAATGAATATTTTACTCATCCAATCAAAAAATAGTAATTTGATGACGTCATACATATTTTAAAATAGTTTAATTGAATTCAGCAGGTTTGAAAACCCCTTTAACAGTATTAACATGAACATAATCAGTATTTTCTTATGAGTATTGACTTTTAGCACACTTTGAAACAAACAATTCTGGCCCACTGTGCGTCGATCCTCCGAAAACCTCCTCCTTGTACTTCACTTAATAAATCGTATTCCTCGATAAAATTTGACACTGTTTGGGCAATGATTCTATTGTAGACTTTCGATACGCATGAGTTTAACGTTATACCTCTATAGTTATTTAAATTTTTTGCGTCACCTTTTTTAAACAATGGTATTATTTTACCCCTATTCCATTCACGAGATGCGAAGTACAAAAATTAATCTCATTAGAGAGGGCGTACTTTATTGACTGTATAAAGTATACGCGCAAGAGAGAGCATTCCAGCGGATGCGATCTAAACTACTGAATTTGCTTAGTAACAAAAATTTGTCGAGAAAATGAGAATCTCCTATGAGAAATAGTCTGTATTTCTCTTTTTTTTTTTAATTCTTTTGCGTAAAACTAAAATTTGTACCAATATTTTTCCATGATTTATAATAATTAGAGTAATGCATATGCATCTTTTTCTAAAATAAATTCTGCTTTTTAGTGAAATTTTGCCAGGAATGATGGGGGATTTAAGGATATTACCCTCTTATTTGTAACTCTGTATCGTATGCAAGTCGGGTATGGAAATTAAGTAGTGCACTTTATTGGAACATCTATACCAAAGTTCTTGGGTGGGGTTCGTCGCACTTTATTGGAACATCTATATCAACAGTGGGAAAGCCACTCGACAAATCGAATCAAATTTCACCTATACGCCTTTTTCACGAATCGGTAGACATCTTGAAGTGATGACAAACATTGCGAACCAGCGGTGCGTAACCAACAGAAATAAGATAAGCTTTTGGGCGGATTTTTTGACATCATGTTATTTAAAAAATCATAACTCTATAACGGGGCGTCGTATCCAAAAACTTTTTCCAGCAAAATGTTCTTAAAAGACTAATCTACACCACTGTATGATTGAAAAAAAAATTAAAAATTTTTTTGACCTCTGAAATCAAGATTGAAAAATAAAAGCCTATCTCAGTAGTGTATTAAAATAGGTATATGCATTACAGTGCTGTAGTACTAGTAATACCAAGGTAATTCAACAAAAGGACGCACATCTCCGCTCTCGAACATAGCGCGTGCGTACACTGCCCTGTCATGATAAAACCACTCAACTGACATTTTTTTCAAAATTCACTTTTTTGCCTTTTTGGGTTCTTAATACATCAATACACCTTGTGATGTTTTCAGAATTTTAAAATTGTAACTGGAAATATGAAATTTAATATAAAAAATATCACTCAATTGCAGGTATAGTCTAGTATTGTCATGTAAGACCAATAGGTCCATGGTAAGACTAACTCAACTGCAAATGTCATGATAGAACTCACTCAACCACATTTAACACCTATTACATAATCACTTTGTCATGAAAGAAATCACTTAATTGTATCCTATATAGGAAGTTGATTGCTTGTTTTGATGTTTATCAGATGGGAGGATTAAGAAAAAAGTATTTACACAATTAAATAACTGCAGTTAGTTAGATAAACTTTATTTTAATTAATAT